GTCCCCCAAGAATAGAGTCATAAGTGAGCCTGTTGATAGCACAGCCTGTCCAGAAACTCTCCCCCTGACTAGCGAGAAGCTGGGCACTGCAGGCCTCCAAGAGACTTGGCAGAGAACCTGATCTGGTTTTCCATGACCGTGAACTGGCCAGCAGAAGTCCAGCTTGGAGCATCTCCCCCGAGGGCATGGGCACACTGGGTTTTTTGCATCGGGGTGGGCACTAGTATTGTACTCATGTGGGACTCTGTCAACAGAGGTATTTTCTGTCCTTGAAAAAAAATTAGCAGAGCTCCCAGACTTGACCTACCTTGATCACCAAATATTGAAAGTTGTTTTTTCTAAACACACGATTTTATAGACTCCACTAGCATTGACCAGTTGAGGCTCTTGAACAGAGTGGGTTTTGGAAGTCGGTGAATTCTCAGTAGTGCAGACAAAGATTGCTTGTTTGGCAGTCACCTGTCATCCTCTCTCCGGTACGCATTCATCCATTTGTCACAACACTTTGTAGGGAGGTGAACAGGGAAGCTTAAGAAAAATGCTTTCCTCTTGTCTTGATGATAGAAAGCATTGCTCACTGCTGGTAGCATGGTGGTAACTTTTCATTCCTTCTGGCAGTTTTTAAAGACTTATTTGACTTTGGGGGAACCTGCTGTATATCTTTAAGTCACAGTGCAAAAAGTATAAGACAGGGTCGTTCATTTTCAATTTTGGTGGAAAGTCTTCACTTTGTCCGTGGCACTTCAAAGTTAGGGAAAACTTGGCTTTAAAAATGGATGCTGATACGAAATGGCATATTTAATGACAGATGTATCTATAGAAAGCTGTTAAGATGCAGATTATTCCCCCCTGGGGTGGGGGAGGGAGATCAAAACTGCCAATCTATAAAATATACTCGATGGCCTGGAATCTCTCTTTGCAAGCCTTTGATTGCAGGGGACAGTGGAGCAGCATGTGGCATCATAACCCAGAGCAGACAAATCAGCTTGATGACTTTCAAAGCCAGGAACACCGCTGCAGGCAAGGGTACCCCGTCTGGGAGAAATTAAAACATATAGCGACTGTTATTAATTCCATATCTATTTTTGTATAGTCAAATCTGTATGCAAATCCTTAGCATCTCATTTCAGCAGATGAATCTGAAAGTGAGGAGTGTTATGTGAAGGGAATGTAATGACCAAGCTCTGCCTATGAGTAACACTGCCAGAGACAGGTGGACGGAGAACTTGGGGACTTTTTAAAAAACTTATGTTTCGTAGTGAGAAGAAGTTTTTATTTATGTGCTCATTTGTAAATTATTTCAAAGGGAAACACAATAAAACCAATTTCTAAGGTTTTCCCTGGCAAAAGTTACACCACTAGGTTTTTTAGGCACCTCCTGTGGTTTAACATTCTAGAAGTAATCAACCAAATAACTAACTAGGACTTCTGTCTCTACTCCCAACTAGTAACCCAGTATCTATCTCATTTCTAAACATTGTCATGTGAGTGAAAATTTGTATGTGAGGGTACGGAATCTAATTACTGAGTGCAGATTTTAATGCAGCTGATGCAGCTGTGGAAGACAGTAAATAATAATTCTGAAGAGGGTAAAGATAAACTGTGTGCCCTGCTTGGGAGAGAGGATGTAATAGCTACATTCTAATCCACTGGTGGTGCATTTAATCTATAATGGGCAGAGTTTGGTACATAGAGTAGTGTAAATATTTTCAAATAGTGTCATAAACAGATAGTTTACTGCAGTAGATATTAATTCTGTCCCATATTTCTAAAACAAGTAGGTAAACCATCAGAGTTTTGAAATAGTGGGTGGGAGCTTTACCCTCTGTTCCCTCTCATTTGGAGAAATGATTATAGGTGAGCTGGCTATTAATCTGGCGGTTATGGCCCAGATCAAAACTTGGCAATCATTTTAATACTGAAGACTTGTGAGGTCTCAATAGGTTTGATTATTCTTGTGGAGAAAGAATTATTGGACATTCAGTTTTTAATCAGATAAGAAAAGGAAGGTTGGGAGGAAAAAGTAAACATACCGCTGTGTTTATTTTGAGATACATTTTCACTCCATGTAGGCACTTCAGCCTCAGCTTTCTCAAGTGTGTTTTCTTTTCATTTTTAAAATGAGACATTCAATGAGAAACACAAAAAAGACTTTTTTGAGGGCAGGAAGCTCATTTCTCTCTGTTATTTGCATTTCCTCCTTGGACAAATCTTTCATTAAGCTTAAAAAGTGGTTGCAAGCTTCAGAGAGAATTACAAGAATAAAAAGCCCTCCAGTTAATAATAGCCATGGTCAATTACATGAAAGATATAATCTCCTTACCAGAGTTGAATGAGAGAGTAATGACTGACCTGGACAGGTTCCCTCCCCTTCCTGTATCCATTAGTATTAATTGATTATTTCAGCTCAGTTGAGGGCTATGCACTAACCCTCTGCATTCTGGTTGACTTGACATCTGCCCATGGAGTTGATGGTGGTGACCTATTTAAAGTATCTAAACTGTCAAAGCAAAAGTGATAATGGACAAAGTAAAACAGACAAGGAAGACTTTATTCAAGACTATGGCACTAGTGGAGAGAGACCAGAAAGCAGTCTGAAATCAACTCCTCTGAAAAAAAAGAGGCAAGAGGGTTTTTAAGACCAGGGGTGAACTAGTGGAAAAGTACCGAAGGGCTTTGGAGGAAGGTTGGTCAATGTGAACTGTTGAGCACATTCAGTTATCCCTGAGTTGGTAAATGTTTTTCTCTGTTGGGACATTTGTGTTTGCTGATTGGCACCATCGAAGTTAGGCTCCTCCCCTCCATAGAAAATGGGAGATGGGGGCATGGTCTGCTTGGGGATTACATGTCAGTCCGATAGCTCCAGGCCTTGGAGGAAGACATTCCTCAGTCTAAAAGTTGCAAGAAGCTTCTTAAATGATTTACATCTTACAGAGCCCCAGAACGAATTTATAATTAAAAGTTTTCTAAAGTAAGTGCTCTATGAAAAGGGAAGTTAGGGGCCTAGAAGCAGGAAGAAGCCTGTGTATAGTCAAGCTGACAGGGATAAGGCTGTCTTGGACAGTATTGTAACAGTACTCATTAAAAAAAAATTATCTTTATTGCTGAAAGTATTAGAGATGTCCCCTTTTTTCCCCATTGACCCCTTTCCTCCTGCGCCCACCGCCCCTCCCCCCACACCTTTACCACACTATTACATGTGTCCATGGCTTATGCATAAATGCATATAAATTGTTTGGTTAATCTCTTCCCGCCCTTCTCCCCACTTCCCTATCTGTTTCATGCTTCCATGTCTCTGGATCTTTCAAAAAAATTCAATAGGAAACTTTTTAGTCTGCCTCAATTTTAGATATTTATTGCAAAAGTCGCTGCTTTTTTGTGATACTTATTAAAATAAGAATGTTATTCATTTTATTCAAGTGCCTAGTGATATGTGTGAGACAATATTTTTAAAGACAGAATTGAAGGGAGGAGGTACTTATATTTCTGTTATTGCCTAACATGGATATCATATTATTTTCTTTTTGCTGCTTTATTTTTTAGCTTTTCCATTTAATGGTAAAAATTAAAGTAGAATCAAGTATTTCTGTGTTTTATAGGGCTCGATGTATACCACAAACATGAAAAGAAGTATGGTAAATTTAGCTAAAGGTGTAATGATTTTTTTTTTTTTAGTTGTTATTGATTAAGCAGAAGGTTTCAGGTTTTTTGGATCTAAGCAGTTGTCAAGAGGGCTTTAGAAGAGTTGAGGACAGCAGCAACTATGCTCTAGAACTATGCTGTCCAGTATGGTAGTTATTAGCCACTTGTAGTTTACTGAGCACTTGAAATGTGGCTAATCTGGACTGAGATATGCTATGTCAACTATACACTGGATTTTGAAGACAATATGAACAAATATATCTCAATATTTTTTACATTGATATCATGTTGAAAAGATAATATTTTGGCTATTTTTAATGAAATGAAATTTATATTTGGTTTAATTTCACTGTTTTTACTTTTAATGTGGCTGCTAGAAAAGTTAAAATTGCATATGCGACTCACATTTGTGAGTCATGTTATATTCTATTGGATAGCATTGGTTCTAGATTTCTTTTTTTAAAATATGTTTTTATTGATTTGAGAGAAAGAGGAAGAGAGAGAGAGAGAGAAACATTGATCGGCTGCTTCCTGCATGCCCCCTACTGGGGATCCAGCCTGCAACCAGGGCATGTGCCCTGATGGGGATTGAACCAGTGACCTCTTGATGCATGGGGCAACACTCAAGCAACTGAGCCACACTGACCACAGCTAGAGTTCCTTTTAATGTCTTTTCTTAGATATGGTTCTTCTAAAGCAGTGGTTCTCAGCCTGTGGGTCGCGACCCCTTTGGCAGTCGAACGACCCTTTCACAGGGGTCGCCTAAGACCGTCCTGCATATCAGATATTTACATTACGATTCATAACAGTAGCAACATTACAGTTATGAAGTAGCAACGAAAATAATGTTATGGTTGCGTCACAAAATGAGAAACTGTATTTAAAGGGCCAGAAGGTTGAGAACCACTGTTCTAAAGAGCTATCAGGATATCACTGTGATAGTATATAGAAGACTAGAGATTAAAACTGTCAATTTAGCTAAAGACGAGAATTTTCTATAGAACTATGTTCCTGGCATAAACTGCAGAGATTTGTCTGTGTGCTGTATTCACTCCCCCTCCCTCTCTATTCATTTCCCCTCATTCTGGCCATGTTGAGCAGCTTGCCAGAATTGGGGATCTCTTGCTAATCTCTGCATACTTGCTGCTTGCTCTCAACTGGATTGCTTCTGAAATGTTTCTTGAAAATGAAACGGCTTCAAAATAAGCTTCTTAATTATGGCATAGGTTCACCACAAGGGTATACAAACAAATTCTCAACAGTAGCTAATTTTTCTTTAATTGTATCTCATTCTTATGTTGGAATATCCTATTTCTTATTCATGAAAGCTCTAACACGTGTTAATCCATTACATACAGGTGGAGTAACTAACACCGCACAGTATCAGAATAGACTAATGGTGTATGAACCTAACCAGGTAAGAATCCTATACGAAGAGCTCATTACCTTAATTAAAATGAATTTTAAAAGATGTCTACAGTAATTAGTAGTTGGAATGCCAAGTCTACACACACACACACACACACACACACACACACATCTTAAACCTATATAGAAAAGGAAGCATCTGGCTAAACTGCTTTTTGCTTTTCTTTTTTCTCATAAAGTTTTAGCTCCTTCAGTTTTATTCTATATAACATGCTTAACTCTTTCAGAGTTTTGCCCAAAGTAGAAAAAAGGGGAAGATATTTCCATTATCTCAAGTAGCTGTTCATATTCAGAGGCATCCAAAGAAAGGATTGGGATTGTCCTGTTGCTATGTCCTTTTAGAAGGCATGTCATGGACGATGGGGGTGGACTTGCTTATGGTTTCATTATTCCGAAATAAAATAATGACTTTTATTTATTTAACTCAGTATAGCCAAAATGTCCTAGAACAGGGTCTAGGGCACATCCAAAGTAGAAGTAGCTGAAGAGTTTGTTTTTCATCTGATAACTGGGGCCTGGACTGAAAGCATTATGATGGCTCCTGTCCCTCCTTCTGCCACTTCTCATGCACACATAACATCTCCCCCCGCAACCCCAAAGAACGATTTTTATTCTCTTTTCTTCTACCTAAATATCTATGACTTTAGCAAAGATGGGCTGAAATTTGCTATTTCTATGATTTTGGTTATGTCAACTTTTTCATGATTATGACAATATTCATAATGACTTAACCTGGGGATTTCATATTTGTCTGCTGGAAATACTGGAACATGAAACAGCAGGTTGGCATTGGCTGTCCAACTTGGGATTAGCCACCGAATGTATGTCCAAAGTGACCTCAATCTATTTGGAATCCTTTTATTTTAACAATTACTTAATTCTGAATTTAACGAAGGTATTTCTGTCTTTGCAAGTGTGTTTCCTGATGTCATTAGAAGCTGTAGATTTCAGAGACCACATGTCCATGGGCCAGATGTCTCCAGAGGGATCATTAATTGCAGTTGCTTGAGTTCAGTGCACACGTGGTTAAAGAGGAAGAAGGTGTTAACGTTTCTCAAATGACTTCTGTCTCATGTTTGTACACACATGCTCTTTTTAAAAATTCTGCTGGCATACTGTTTACAGTGGGTTCTGGCAAACATCACATCTGCTTGCATCTTGCTCAGAATCTCAATAACTCTATCATCCAGCCCCGGTGCTTGTTTCACTGCGAGGCCTTTGTGGAGAGTCGATAATGCCCGCCATCTGCCACAGAGCACATCGCTACCTGCCAACAGGCAGGCTGGGGTGACCTCTGCCTCCCCACCACTGATTAGTATTCACGTGCTAGCTTATTAGGAATGACCCCACCAGGCCTCTCTGTTTCCTTGCCTTTGCAGCGGTTGTCGGCTCACCTGGCAGGCACGGCAGTGAAGGAGACTGAAGATGTAATCAGGGGATGCAGGCAGGCTTTGCAAACCAGATGGGGTCCACAGTCCTATGGCAGGGGACCGGACTGCTAATGCAGACACCAATTTCTAATATTATTCAGGGTTACCTCATAGAAAGCATCCTAAGAAAAGTATCATCAGAGTTTTGAGGTAAATCCACTCCCATGTAATGTATTAAAGATATTTCTTAGCGGAATACCTGAAAAAAAGGTTTGACTATTTATTAAAGATGACATTTAATTGGAAGGAGATTCTTAGTATGACATGTTTAAAAAGGAGAAGCAGCCCTAGCCGGTTTGGCTCAGCAGATAGAGCATTGGCGGGCAGACCAAAGGGTCCCAGGCTCAATTCTGGTCAAGGGCATGTACCTTGGTTGCAGGCTCCTCCCTGGCCTGGGTCCTGGTCAGGGCTCATGCAAGAGACAACCAATCGACATGTTTCTCTCTGTCTTTCCCTCTCTCTTCCGCTCTCCCTAAGAAATGAATGGAAAAATATCAGATGATGCTGAAAAACAACAAAAAAGGAGGAACAGATAAATGCAAGCCTTTCAAATTGTACAAACCACTTTCATTTTTTGAGTATATCGTTAAAAGAGAAATTAGAAATGAGCTAATAGATATACCTTTACTTAATACCCAATATTTATACAAAACATTTTCTTCTTCCTTTACAGCTTTGTGAACTATTGAAATTCTATGTATTCTAAACATCATAGGATTTTTTTCTGGTCAAAATCCAAATTTTTCTTGGCAAAAAAGGAATCTGGGTTGTTCCTGTATGTTTTGTGTTTACGTAGAAAGAAAATGGTCATGTTTACTTACCTGTCCATTACTTAGTTGAGATATAAAATTAGTCATATTTTATTTTTATCTAATTTTACATTATATTTTAAATAGGAGCCTTATTGTAAGAGGTGTTGAGCATACCATTCTTATTATTAAGAGTAATCCAGAAACAAATATTGCCTAAAATTATCATATAAAACTTGGCCTCCTACAAAAACCAATAAATGCCTAGAAATACCTTTTCTCAGCTTGACAGAAAATGTGATTGTAAATACATTAAAGGAGGCTGATAAAAGGCACTGAAGGAATCCATTGCTGAACCAAATCTTAGCTCTTCCATTGACCTCAAGAGGTTAATCTTAGAAGAACAGCAAAGCCACCCTCACTCTAGCTTAGGTAGGGTCTGGGGATAGTCAGTGATTAACACAATACTTGTTTAAAAGTGTATATTTATTGGACATTTATTATGTGTGAGGCATTGTTCTAAGTCAGTGGTTCTCAACCTTGGCTGCACATTAGAATCACCTGGGAATCTTTTTAAAATCCTGATTTATGGGCCTCATCCTCCAGAAATTCTGTTTCTTTGTTACTTAATGTTGTGGCCCCACCCCATAACAAAGGAATAGAATTTCCGGAGGATGAGGCCCAGAAATCAGGATTTTAAAAAGATTCCCAGGTGATTCTAATGTGCAGCCAAGGTTGAGAACCACTGTTCTAAATGCTTTGTGTGTATTAGCTCATTTAACCTACACAACAGTCTTGTCAGGTGACTATTATTACCCCAATGGGGGGGCACCATTGAGGGCATAACCAATGGTAGAGGTCCAGGTGTTTTGCATTGAGCTGCTGTCTTTTTGCAAATAAGGAAACAGGCACAGAGAGGTCAAGTAAATTGTTCAAGGTTACACACAGGTTATGAAGTCAGGTATTCAAAGTCCAGAGCCTGTTTCTTAATCATCACACCACCTTAGTCAGGATACATAGCCATGCACTTTCACTCTTAATTTGCATAAGTAAATTCCCTCAATTTCTATATTTTCATATGCTTCCCTTACAAATGCGAAATGCCCTATGAAATGCAACCCGAACAAGAGGAAATGCCTTCTGTGAGTTGAAAAATAGAGCTGGAACATGTGGGTGCTTCTGCCCTTGTTCTCGGGGAAGAAGCCCATTCCTTTCAAAGTATATGAACAACACTTAAACAGAAGGTGACTGACAAACATTAGGTCCCCACTACTAACGAGGCACAGCTGTTCTCTGCCATGAAGCTTGGCTATTAACAGAATTCCCCTGAATTTCTTTTTCCAGAACAAGTGGATCAGCCGCAGCCCCATGCTGCAGAGAAGGGTCTACCACTCCATGGCTGCAGTCCATAGGAAGCTCTACGTCCTTGGCGGCAATGACCTGGACTACAATAACGACCGGATCCTGGTGCGGCATATAGATTCCTACAACATAGACACCGACCAATGGACGCGCTGTAACTTCAACCTGTTGACTGGCAAGTACCTTTGTTAAGTAAATCAGGAAAAGCTAAGATTCAAGAAGCTTCCTCTCTAAATACTGAGTGCACGACAACAGAACGACTTGCTTTCATTAACTAGAAAAGTTCACATTCTATATCTCACATAACTTCATCCCATCAGGTGGCTGAGATCTAGTTTGACCTTTGTGTGTGCCCTCATGTGACTAAGAGGCATGTCAAGTCCATTACTGACAATATATTAACATAGGAACTTGAATACAACTAGGAGGAGCCAGGTGCGGAAAGAGTTAATGACTCTTTACAGAAGCAAATCATTTTTTACTTCTCATTACTTTTAGTTGTCATTTCTTTTTATTTATTTATTTACTTATTTAATTTGCTTTTACACTACTGCTGTAATGCATTTTGTATTTCATATACTGTGCATGTCAAAACAAAACAGGCATTAATGGTCAGGGGTACATCCTTTCCAATGTCATCAGTTCCTACTCCACAATCAGACACTGAGGAGACCTTCTGGTTAGGAGTCATTTAGTGAGAGGCGGGTTGGCCGGAGTTGGAGTGACCATCTGCATCAATGCACTCTGGTGTCAGAGCGAGGAGAGACGGCAGGAAAGCTTGGAGGGCACAGTTGCAAGTTGGGAGTCTCTGCATGAGTCGTCATTTCTTATAAGTTCAGGAGAATGGTTTTCATTTTTTGTCACTGCTGAATATTGTTTCTGGCTATTTTCTCCTAAAGATTAAACCTGTGAGCAGTTCTGAGCATAGGGGAGTGGCAGCACTTCTGGGCACACACCGCCATCCCAGCCTTCCCACAGGGCAGCACTAGGTATGGGCCATCCTTATCCCGAAAGAGAATGAAAGGGAAGCGGTGAACAGCTTACCCCTGACATTTCTTTATGGAGTTGAACATTATTTCTCCCTTGTCAGCTGTGTCATTAACAACCACCAGTGACCGGGTCCCTTCCAGGCTGCTCTGCTAATAGGAAAATCACAGACTCAGAATGGTGGGCAGACTAGTGCTTGGAGACGATTTGATATGCCACGTGGGCCCTCAGGCACCTGCTGGTGCTGGGGAAACACCATTGAGGGCATAGCCCCTGGGAGAGGTTCAAGTGTTTTGCACTGAGCTGCTGTTTTTGTTTTGTTTTTTGAAAACCTGATTTTTAAGGCCCACCTACAAGTACTTAATTCTGGTCTAAGTTGCTGTAGAGGTGCCTGAGCCCTCGGTCCCTGGATCTGTCTGCTATAGGATCCAGCTTATTTATTACCCGAGTCAATCCTGTGTCAGCCCATCAATAAAAAGAGACTGTCTCACTCTTTGATGGCCTCAAGGGAAGAATATGTGGTAGTGAGTTATTCTGTCTTCTTTTTTAAATGGGGAAGGGACCTTTCATCATTTTGGCATGTCAGTATCTAGGGACTATCCAGGCTGGTCTCAGCTCAAGAACTTTAATATAGTCTTAAAGCTGTTGTGTATGTAAAGAGAGGGAGGGTAGTGACTTTGTCCTTTTTGTCATTTGTCTTCATTTTGGGGCACGCTAGGGGCATGGCTCTGTTTTATTGGTTTCTTGGGGTTGCAGCTGTTACTTTACAAGTGTAAGTATTTGCCTTAAAAGCATTCGCAGTACAAGAGGTTTTTTGCATTTCTAAAATACACCTTTTATCCGCTACTGTGAATGTATGGCATGTGACAATATAAAACTCTTACTGGTAGTTCTCAATGGCTTATTATTACTGTATTTTATGCTGTTTTTACTAACTTGGCTAACCAGTGTTATGACCTGGTTCTGATCCGACACACATTCATTTGCTGAGAAATGGTGCTTAATTTCTCCCTCTGAGTAGGGGGAGGCAGCGATTAGTTGCTGCAGAAATCCTGTGGAGTATACAAGTCCACCACAGGGCAAAATGTATCTCTCAGTGGCAAAGGGTTAATTAAAACATGCAAGGAAAGGGATTTATTTTTTTAAAAAATTTTTATTCAATTCTCTTTACTTTAGGCCAAAATGAATCTGGAGTTGCTGTCCATAATGAGAGAATCTATTTAGTTGGTGGATATTCGATTTGGACAAATGAGCCTCTGGCTTGTATCCAGGTGAGTGGCTGAAGTTCCTTTTGAAGTTTGTCAAGCGGTGCAGGGAGGTTATTTTTTGCAGTGCTGCTCCTGAAGGAAGAGATATTTACACGTAGAAAGAGGCTTGAGCTCCCATTGTGCAGCTAGTTCAGCCACTAAACCTCATCCAGCATCCCAAAAATGGTACTTAAGAAAAATGGTACTCTATTAAAAATGGAGATGAAAACTTTGAAAAGCTAGACATTTATGAAATAGTTCTTTCACGCCCCAAAACTTCACATATGAGTTTCTATTCCATTTCTTTATTTTCTATATTGTGATTTGTTCATTTCCATAAATGCCACCTACAAAGGTGTTCTTCCTTCCTGAAGAGTGAGCAGTAGGGGGCTATGATTGGTCTGATGGGGGCAACCTTTGCCCCAAAGAATAGTCTTGGATGGTCAGCATGTGAGCAGCCCAGGCTGGGCAAGTTGCCAGATAGGCCATTGAAAATAGCAGTAGCTTTTGTTGATATACATATTATAAGGTATTATTATTATTTATTACATTTTGTATCTTAGTTGTTTTTCTATTTTATATATTTTCTGATATCATATTGACATGTATTAGCCCTGACCTTTTTCCTGATCTCCATAAAAATATATCCTTATAACTATTCATATTATCAAATATATTTGTGGGATGATTAAAAAAATATCTTCACTGATTTTTAGAGAGAGAAGAGGGGAGAGACATATCTATGTAAGAGGGAAACATCAATTGGCTGCTTTCTGCACCCTCCCCAGTAGGGACCGAGCCAAAACCCCAGCATGTGCTCTGACTGGGAATTGAACTGGCATCTGATTGTGACTGAAGAAAAATGTATATATATTAAAAAAATTTTTTTTAAAGAAACTTCCTCATTTGTGTTAAGCTTTCAAAACATCTTCTCTTGATTTGTCTCGCCAGAGGTTTTTCTAGGGACTTTAACATACTTCTAGTATTGATTTGTAAGTCCCGCGCGCTAACCGATTGCGCCACTGGAGCTCCAAACTTCTAGTATTGATTTAGATAAAAATTAGCAAGGGTAGCATAGATATGAATACAGTAGTTCCCCTCTTATCCAAATTTTGCCTTTTGCTGTCTGTTACTCATGGTCAGCCACAATTGAACATATTACATGGAAAATTCCAGAAATAAGCAATTTATAAATTTAAAAGTGCACACTATTCTGCATAGTGTGATGAACTCTCCGACCCGTTCCATCTGCCCAGGACTGGAATCATCCGTTTGTCCAGCATATCCACACTGTATATGGCTCTCCTCGCTTTAGTCACTTAGTGGCCAGCTTGGTTATCTGAGCCACTGTTGTGGTATTTCAGTGCTTGTGTTCAAGTAACTTTTATTTTACTTAATAATGGCCTGAAAGTGCAAGGATAGTGATGCTGGTATTTTAGATATTCCAAAGAGAAGATGTAAAGTGTATATATTTATAGGAAGAAACAATAGTGTTTGGTACTATCCACAGTTTCAGACATCAGTGGAGGTCTTGGAATGTATCCACATGGATAAGGGGGACTACTTATTTAACAAACTTTCTGAGTGGATCAAACAATTAGTGAAGATAATGTTCTTTTTTTTTCTGTTTGAGATATAATTGACATTTAAAATTTTATTAATTTAAAGTGTCCAACGGGAAGAGAGAAAATACTTGCAAATTGTATTTTTTGAGGAACTATCATGTTTTCTATAGTGGCTGCGTCAATTTATGTTATCTACCAAGAGTGCGCAAAGGTTCTCATATCTCCACATTTTCATGAATATTTATCTCTTGTCTTTTTTATGACAGCCATTATTTTTAACTTTATTGTTGAAAGTATTACAGTCCCCCCTTTTTTGACCTTCTCCACCCCAGGCCTTCCTCACAATAAGGTTTGAGATGACATCTTATTGTGTGTGGTTTTGGTTGGCATTTCCCTGATGATTAGGGATGTTGAGCACCTTTTCATGAACCTGTTGGCCATTTGTTATGTCTTCTTTGGAAAAATATTTATTCGATCCTGTGCCCATTTTTTTTCAATCAGATTGTGTGTGTTTTTTCCTGATGAGTTTTATGATATCTTTATATTTTTTGGGATATTAACCGCCTATCAAACAAATGATTTGCAAGTACTTTCTCTCATTCTGTAGGTTGCCTTTTCGTGATCTTTTAATTCCTTGAGGGAGACCAGCTACCTTTTTAAGGTTTCTGAAAAGGGGGACCTTGCATATGAATTTAGGAAGTTGGCAGAGGATGAAGAGGATAAGGCTTCATGAAGGATAAACCTTGGAAGATGGACAGGGTACATAGATTGTTTGGAGTTTTTACAGCTGAATTGTATGAATCCTTTATATGTTTTGGTTATTAACCCTTCTCAGATATATGATTTGCAAATATTTTTTCCCATTTGATGGGTTGCATTTTCATTTTTTTTAATGCTTTCCTTTGCTGTGCATAAGCTTTTTAGGTTGATATAGTCCCGCTTGTTTATTTCTGCTTTTCCTGCCTTTGCTTTTGGTGTCAATTACAAAAAGAATTGTTGCCAAGACCAATGTGTTTTACCTCTGTGTTTTTTTCTAATTTTATGGTCTCAGGTCATATGTTCAAGTCTTTAATCAATTTTGAGTTTATTTTTGTGTATGGTATAAAATTGGGATACAGTTTCATTCTTTTTTAAAAAATATATTTTTATTGATTTCAGAGAGGAAGGGAGAGGGAAATAGAAACATCAATGATGAGAGAGAATCATTGATCAGCTGCCTCCTGCATGCCCCCCACTGGGGATCGAGTCTGCAACCCCGGGCATGTGCCCTTGATTGGAATCGAACTCAGGACCCTTCATTCCGTAGGCCGACACTCTATCCACTGAGCCAAACCAGCCAGGGCTCCAGTTTCATTCTTTTGCATTTGTTTTTCTAGTTATCCCAGCACCATTTATTGAAGAGACTATCCTTTCCCACATTGTATGTTCTTGGCTTCTTTGTCAAAAATTAGTTGATTATATATACATGGGTTCATTTCTGGGCTCTCTATTCTGTCCCATTGATCTATTTCCCCCCCCCCCCCCAAAAAAAATCAAACAAACAAAACCAGTGTTTTATTTACTGTAGTTTGAAATCAGAGTGTGTGATGCCTCCAGCTTTACTCACTTTCTCATGATTGCTTTGGCTATTTTTTTTTCTTTCGGTGTGTGTGCGGTTCCATATGAATTTTGGTTTTTTTTTCCTGTGAAAAATGCCATTGGAACATTGATACGGATCACAATGCTTTTAATTTTTTCCCTTAGGAAATTTCCAAAAAACTGGTTTTTTTTTTTCTCATTTTTTATTGAATTTATTGGGGTGACACTGGTTAAGAAAATGATAAAAGTTTCAGGTGCACAATTCCATAACACATCATCTGTCACTGTATTGTGTTCACCACCAAAAACAAAGTCTCTTTCCATCACCATTTATCCCCCCTATACCTTCCTCTACCTACCCCAGGCCATCCACACTCTTGTCCATGTCTGTGAGTTTTTCCTTTTTTGCTCAATCCCTCCACCAACCACCATCCCAACCTCCACCCCTGACAGCGTTCAGCCTGCTATGCATGAGTCTGTCTATATTTTGCTTGTTGCTCATTTTGTTCATTAAATTCCATTGCTTTTAGTATAATAATTCTTCCAATACATGAGCACAGAATATTTTTTCCATTTACTTGTAACTTCATTTTCTTTCATAAATGTCTTACAGATTTCAGTACATAGATCTTTTCATCCCCTTGGTTAAATTCCTAGGTACTTTATTGTTTTCTATACACTTGTAAATGAAATTTTCTTAATTTCTCTGATAGTTTGGTGTTAGTGTATAGAAATGCAACAGGTCTTTGTACATTGATTTTGTATCCTACAAGTTTACTGAATTGATTTATTAACTATACAGTTCTTTGGTGGAGGCTTAGGGCTTTGTATTATATCATGTCATCTGCAGACAGGAAGTTTTATTTCTTTTAGTTTTATACCACCGAGTATGATGTTAGCTGTGGGCATGTCATATATGGCATTTATTATGTTGAAGTATGTACCCAGTTTGTTGAGTTGTTTTTTTTGAGAGGGTGCTTATAAAATGAATTTTATTTATTTATTTAAAATATATTTGTATTGATTTCAGAGAGAAAGGGAGAGATACAATCATCAATGATAAGAGAAAATCATTGATTGGCTGCCTCCTGCACACCCCCTACTGGGGATCAAGCCCACAACCCGGGCACGTGCCCTTGACCAGAATCAAACCTGTTACCCTACAGTCCTCAGGCTAATGCTCCAGCTAAGGCTGAATTTTTTTAAATTTATCTTTATTATTGAAAGTATTATAGATGTCCCCCCCCCTTTTTTTTTCTCCCATTGACCCCCTCCACTCTACACCCACTCCCTAGGCCTACTGCACTACTGTTTGTGTCCATGGGTTATGCCTACATGCATATAAGTTCTTTGGTTAATCTCTCTCCTACCTCCTCACCTCTGAGAGTTATCATGAATGCATGTTGAATTCATCAAATACTTGTACTACATCAGTTGAGATGAGCATATGTCTTTTATCTGCCATTTTGTTAATATGGTGCATTACATTGGTTGATTTACATATGTTGAACCATCCCTAAATCCCACTTTATCATAGTGTATGATCTTTCATTTATTATTTTTAATCCTCACCCATGTTTAGAGAGCTAAAGAAAGATTGATATGATAAAGATATATTTACTGGTTGCCTTCCGTAGGCACCCCAAGTGATAGATCCTGCAACCCAGGTATGTGCCCTGACTGGGAATTGAACCGGCAATCTTTTGGTGCACAGGATGATGCTCCAACCAGCTGAACCACTCTGGCAGAGCTAGTGAATGATCTTTTAAATGTGTTGAATTTGGTGTGCTATTTTGTTGAATTTTTACATCAGACACTGGCTTGTCATTTTCGTTTTTTGTAGTGCCCTTCCCTGGTTTTGGTATAAGGGTAATGGTGACC